ACATACACACATATATATATATATATATATACACACACACACACACACGGTTATAGTGTCAGGCTTCCTTCTTGCTTTCTTGTCCCCTTGCCTCAGTTGCGGAGTAGTAATGAGGTTTGTTTGTATTCCCAAAAGCTGAGATAATAATATGCAGCTGGTATTAAGTCATTTTGTGAGTTGCTCAACTTCGACACACACAGTCTTATCACTTTAGGTCAACTGAGTGTGGTTGTACAGGCACACAAATATCGTAACTAAGGATTTGGTTTCAGTCTGTGCATGTGGAGAGAATGTTTACATGATAACTCGTTTTCATCAAATCTGTTTTAGAAACACAGCTCTGCACATTTTTTCACTAAACTTATAAATACTCAGAAATGCAGGTTTCTGAAGTTTTTTGCACTCAAAGAAGCACAATCACTAAATCTACATCAAGTGAGGGATCCATGTTTTTTTAAATATGTGACATGGTAACAGCTCTGCAGTGTTGATTCCTCCATATAAACCATATATATCTGTGTATCTTCAAAATACACACCACACAAAGATAAATAGTCAGTTACAGTGTTACTTGATAGTGTTGCTTTTCTTCCATCTTTACAGTACGCTGCACAACAAAAACATCTGTTTCTCCAACCAGTAATAGTGCTGTCATTTGTAAATCAGTACATTTTTATGTACCAATAACAATAATAATCCCATGGCCAAAAATTCCTTCAAAAGTACAGAATAAATCCTTCACAGATTTTTCTTGGCCCTGGATTTGTGATTGTTAAACAACAGATGACACTATTTCAAACATACATTTTGACCCAGTTTGAGTGAAATCAGAGATGAAGATGGACAGATAGAGGACTCTGTGCCTGCACTCTAACTCCAGCTGATTAAGCATGCAATGCAGGCCAGTTATTACAGAGCTCTATCAATAAAGTGAATCAAAGTAATGCTGACGCGAAGATTCAGAGTTTCTCCAGTGATGGTGATACACTGTGTTCCTGGTGCAGCTGGAGATACACTATATAAAATAGTGTAAAACATGTAATATATCCTATGATGAGACATTTTGAGTCCCTGACAGTGACCCACAGAAATAAACCCTTCAAAGTAAACCTGAAACCCAAAACATGAGGTTTGCTGTGTACATGACTCAGTGGCTTCACAGGTAGTGTTAACAGTCTTTACTGACAATGTTTCCTGTTTAAAACACCATCTTTTACTCATTTGCGTCTTTCTCACTGTTCGTGTTTGTTTACTTGAATGATGACATGGAACATTGCAAAGAATCCTTGGGGAGAGAAGATGCACGCACATACACACACAAGCACATATTCAGGCATTGAGCAGCTCGTCTGCGGATCGTCCAATGGCATCAGGGTTGGAAAGAGGGTCGAGGTCTGCAAACAGGTTGAACCAGGCAGACATGTCTTTGGATCCCCCAGGGGCAGCTGCATATACACACACACATATTTATACATTTTATAAGTTTACTGCACGGCAGCCACACCTGGATCAGCAATATATTTAGCAAATATCAACTAATTAAAGTTACAGTACAGTCTCTTAACTGGCAGTTATGTGAGAATGCATCCAAGGCCACGGATGCATAAGATGCGTAACAAGGAACACAAATTACTTCCTCCAGGGAGTATTTTTAAGTAGTGTACTTTCTGAGGAATGAGGAAGAGCTTACCATTACCTGCAAATTTGGGAGCTGGCTGAGCTGATTGGTTTGGACTTTGAGGAACCTGCAGGGGTGGAGCTTGGAACATAGGAGGGGTTGCCCAACCTAAAAGGCAAACAGCCATTGTGAAGAATCCAGTAGCACAATCAGTTATCAGATAGTATGCTGCAGTAAGCAACATGTGGCTTACCTGTGGAACTCAAACTGTGATCCAGCAGCTGGGAGGGCAGAAAGCCTGTGGGGCTAGGGGGGTTAGAGGGTGGACGTGCTGCTGTTGCACCACTCTGTGCTCCTTGGCTGGTTGTGGGGACACTGGGAGAGGTAAACATCCCAAAAGCATCCTGCCATTCTTTGCTGAACTCATCGCTAGCTCCTGAACCAGGGCTTAGAAGGTCTTTGAGGAAGGCCATGTCCCCTGGTTCACCGTCCTCCTGTGGCTGACGGCCAGTGTGCAGACTCCCATCTAGAGGGAAGGGGGAAGAACAGGAAAGTTATTAAACCAGAGACAAAACACATCCGAAACTAATCAAGTCAGATGAGGTCTGACACTTGTAGAAATGTTTAGCTGATTTAGAGTTTAGAAAT